CCCAGCAGTCAAGACCTCAGAAGACATTAAACAGGGAAAGTCTGCAGTCAAGGACCTCTCCAAATTATTGAAGAACAATGAAGTCGTTTTGAGGTCTAGTGTGTGTCTGCTTCAGGCCATAGTCTTTCGAACACTTGTTATGCATCTGAGAACTTGACAATGAATAAGGATAAAAGAAGAATTCATGCCCTTAAGATGTGGTTTTGGAGAAGATAATGGATATCCCAACAGTCAACAGAACAAACAAATATGTCTTAGAGAAAGTGCAGCCAGAGTGTTCCTTGGAGGCAATGATGATAAAGCTTCACCTCATACTTTAGGTATGTTGCTAGGAGAGGTTATTCCTTAAAGAAGACATTATGTTTGGAAAGAGAGAGGAAGACTCTTAACCAGGTGGATTGACACATTGACTACCCCTGTGGTTTCTAGTGTATCAGGAAGTATGAGGATGGCACAGGATATGACAGGGTTCAGATCTGCTGTTCATAGTATGCTATAGCTTACGTTCATGGCAACTACCAACAACAACAACATCTCCTAGGGTGGGTGATAAACCATTGTCTAGGGGTAAACATTAAACAGATTATGTATTATTTCCTTGAACACATAGAAGTATTCCAGTAGGGTCAGAGGGTCAGCAAAATGGAATGATTTGGGTTTAAATCTTATATATAACTCTTTCATGATTCTACCAGTATCTCTGAGGGCAGAAAATAGACAATCTCAGTGAGACTTAATAGCCTCAGAAAACCAACAGAGGGAAAATGGCACTGAGTTTTATACCATGAATATCCCATTTTGAAATTCTTTATTTTTAATCCTCTCAGCTTAATCTATGTTTCAAAAACCTTTTAAGGTCTATTTGATTTAAAATAATTGAAAGTTTAAACTTATTTTCCTTCTTATTCCCCAAATAAATAACATTATATATATATAATCTTGAAAAGAATTTCATCATAAGCTTTACACTTTACATCTTTGTAGATGTTGTACCATTTTCTTTTGATGTTTTATTTTGCATAAGAGCTTTTGTTTTTGGTGTTGTTGGTTTTTTGTGTTGTTTTTTTTTTTTGCATGTGCCTTTGTAGGGTATAAACTGTCTTCTTAAAACCCACTGGAAGGTCAGCTATCGATCAGTTCCAACTCAACAGCACACAACACCATGTAGGGTATAGTTTTGTTTCCTAAAATATATGTTCAAAATTTTTAAAAAAAAAAAAAAAAAAAAAAAAAGCCAACAAACTTTAAGTAAAAAACAAAGTTCTAATGGGAGCTCAGATGGCCTAGTAGGAAGAAAATATGCTGCAGTCCTGAAGGTATGTGGTTTGAATACACAAGCTGCTCCACCACAAAAGGATAGGCAATCTCCTCCTATACAATTAACTCCCTCTGAAAACCCATCCAAGAGTCAGCTATGGGTCAATTCTGATGCCACAATACACAAGAAGGATACTTTTAGTATAATCTATCCATTAACTATACATTGAATTCAAAGGATGTACATTGCATGTTTGGGTGCTAATAAAAATAATGACAATTTAAATTCAATAGTTTCTCTTGTGTAAAAATTTACAGCCGTAGAAACTCAAGAATGGGTTATTCCATACCTTTTCAATCTATATAAGGAAGAGATCATCTGAGAGGCTGAGCTCTATGAGGAGGAATGTGGCATCAGGACTGGAGGAAGACTCATCAACAACTTGCTTTGTGCAGATGACACAACTTTGCTGAAACTAAGAAGGACCTGAATGTGGGGTGGGCAGGGAGGAAAATGTGCAACAATGAATGAATGGAAATCCAAGTTCTCTATAAACTTTCATTAAAATCTCAAATTTAAAAAAATAAAGAAAAAAAGGACCTGAAGCATTTGCTGCAGAAGGTAAGCCTTAAGTATGGACTGAAGCTCAACATCAAGAAAACAAAGATTCTTACAACTGAGCCAACTGGCAGCATCATGATAGAGAAGAGATTGAGATTGTTAACAGCTTCAGCATGCTTGTCTCTACAATCAATACTTTGGTACCAGAAGATAGGAAATCAAAAGACAAATTGCATTAGGAAAATCTTCTGTCAGAGACTTCTCCAGAGTACTGAAGTGCAGTGATGTTAGTCTAGAGATTAAAGTGCCCTGACACAGGTCATGGTCTTCACAATTACTTGCTATGCTTCAGAAAGACAGACAGTGAGTAAGGATGAAAGAAGAATCAGTCTGAACTGTGGTGCTGGAGAAGATTAATGAATATACCATGGATGACTAGGAGAACAAACAGATATGTCCTAGAGAGGCTGAAACCAGGCTGCTCTTTTGAGGCAAGGATTCTGAAGCTTTGTCTGACATACTTTGAGCATGTTGCAAGGAGGGACTAGTCCTTGGAGAAAGACATCACTTAGGAGGGTGGAGGATCAAAGTGCCATCAAGTTGCTTGTGACTCAAAGTGACCCTATGTACAATAGCTCTGAGCCCTGTTCTATCCTGAGCCAATTTCATTGTCTCCAACACACAACTGTCATTGTGCAGGAGAGGAAGACTGAATGAGATGGCACATAATAATAACAACAATATGAATTGGAATTGTCTGAAAAGCCGTTAGTTTTGAATTTAGTGAAAGAGCCCTGGTGATGTGTCATGTGAAATGTAGGCTGTGAACTGAAGAATCAGCAGTTTAAGCCCACCATTTACTCCTTGAGAGAAAGATGTTGTTGGTTTTCTAGTTTTGATTAGGTAGATTCTGGTCTTGGCCATTTCATCTTTGACTTCTGTTGGCTAATGCAAGTTCTCAGGCCTTCTTTACCTCATTGGTATCTGCTTTAACTTCTTTCCACCTAACCTTGCTCTATGCCTGGCTTGCCCAATTCTGACCCTAACACTCAGCCAGCATGGAACTACTCTGAGATTGTAAATCCTTCTGTTAGCAGACTACTTCATCTTTCAAAATCAGTTTAGGAATCGGTTTGAAGCATGGAACACCAATAATAGAAGATTAGATGAGTTGTGGGATGATATCAAGGATAGCATCCATGATGAGAGCAAAGTTCCTTACAGAGGAGAAAGAAAAATCCTGAAATGCACGTCAGAAAAGACTATGAAACTTGAACTAGAGCATCAAGAAGCTAAAAGAGTCTGAAATAAAAGAGCTGAGAAGACTTCAAAGGGCAGCTTGAGATGACAAAATGTAATGATGAGAGCTGGAATTGGAGAATAAAAAGGGAAGAACCTGCTCCGGATTTCTCTAAACTGCAAAACAAATTGAATTCTAATTACACAATTCACAAGATAATTTTTGAAAACAGAAATGTAGATTTGTGTTTACAATGATCAGCATATCTAGCACAAGAATTCTTTTTCAAGGGAATGCCAGTCAGGAGATCAAATTACAGTTCAGAAAACTGTTGCTTTAGTCTAATGTTAGAATAAAAAAGCAGCAAATATTCGTAAAGTAATATTCTACCAAAACTACTTAACCATCACATTTCTCTGTAAGATTAAGTCAAAGAATGGCAACGTTTTGGTGATCAACATACACACTAACACGTAATAATGAGACATCTAAGCATTGTAGCTCGAGTTTCTCTATTTTGAGAAAGTAAAACTTCTTGAAAGAATTTAGGTTATAACGTTAAGGCACTGCACATTTTACTGTTCTGTTGTGTACCATCGAGTGGGAACTGACCCACAGCTGACCTTCCTCCAGTAGAGTGTTAGAGGCAGTAAAGCGCACAGCAAGAGAGAGTGCCCATCTTTCACCCGTGGAGCAGCCGGCGAATCCGAACCTCAAGCCTTGGGTTGGGCAGCGCAACGGCTTACCCACCAAGCCACCAGCGACCCCTTACCATTAAGCTACATAATGTACAATATAGAAAACATATTATATACAATACACGAAATATCACATATTTGTACTAAATTATTTCACAACCCTCTTGCTCATTTAGAGGACCAGAACAAAGGTTCGGTTCCAAGTCAGAGGAACCGAGTTACAATGGCTACAGCGCGCGCGGGG